AAAACATTACCATTGAAATCTACCTGATGACTTTATATCCATGCTCAGATGCCTAGAAGCTCAGAAAGTAACCAACTGTGACTAGTAATAATCAGATATTTAGAGATTAGAAATGCATGTGCGAACATCCAATGTCAATTGCATTGAAAAAGAATTTTTCTATATGAAACTGTGTATTTTAATAATGAAATGGAGATCTTTTTAAAGTTAAAACCTCATTTAATTTTATGTCTTATAGGGTTTATACTGAGTACAATATTGTATAACTGCATTAATTCAACTGTAAACCTATTTTGAAAGAGATGCATCTTAGCTCTGGAAATTGTTATTGAATATGTCAATGCTGTTGTAATGAAATGCTTCTTCTAATTATGTGGTTATTAAATAAATAACTTAAAAAATTAAAAAAAAAAACATTTGAGGGGCTAGAGATGGCTCAGCAGTTTAGAGTACTGACTGCTCTTGTGGAGGACCAAGGTTAGATTCCCAGCACCCACATGGAGACTAACAACCATCTGTAACTCCAGTTCCAGGAGATCCGACACCCTCTTCTGACTTCCTTGGGCACTGCACAACACGGGTGTACCCATCTACATGCAGGCATTACACTCACACACATTAAAAAATTTTTTTTGAGATGGTCTCCCTGTAGGCCCAGCTGGCCTGGAACTCCCTATGTAGAACAGGCTGGCCTCAATCTCACAGAGATCCACCTGCCTCTGCCTCCTAAGTGCTGGGATTAAAGGCGCATGCCACCACTCCAGGCAGCAACAAATTTTCTAAAAATGAAATTTCAGGACAAGCAAGATGGCTCAGCAAGCAAGATGGCTCACTGCCAAGACTGATGACCTGAGTTTGATCCTCACAATCCACATGGTTGAAGAAAATTGACTCCTGTATACCAACACTGTGAGACACAAGAACCCTTCTATAAAATGTCATTTTAAAATTCTTTTAAATTTTATTTATTTGTATTTTATGTGTGAGTGTTTTGCCTGTATAGATGTAAGTGCATCCATGCATGCAATGCCCACGGTGCCATCGACGGAACTGGAATTAAGGATGGGTATTAAGCACTAGTGGTTAGTGCTCTTAATCACTGAGCCATTTCTCCAGCCTGGTAAAAAAAAATTTTAATGAAACTTTATATCACATAAGCAAAGAAAACTATTTAAATCATTTGTTTAGTTCCTTCAAGGAAACATTTATTGTGCATTATTATTGATTGCACTTTATAGCAAAATTAAGTTAAATATATACTTCTCACAAATATGAAAGGGAACTCAAATTCAAATTCTGAGCCAAGCCTGTTTTCAGAATTCAGCAGTTGATCAGGACTCTGGGCCGGGTCCACCAGTCCATGATCTCAGGTAGTCCAGGATGCTTTGAGTAACCGGAACAAAATCATCTTTACATGTAACAACTGTTTCCACATAAAACCCTTCTATGGGCTCTGCTATTTCACTTATTGAGGCAGTTGCACTTGCTGAGTCATCCTTCTGCTCTACTTCATCACCTTAAAGAAAAACCCGAACACCAGAATTATTAATCTAGAGAGCAGTAAAGTAAGATTATGTCATACCTGTTGTCATTATCTTTCATTCAAAATGAAAAAGCAAAGCAAAACAACAACAACAAAAAGACATGTAGGTGTTTTCAAGTACTTAATGCTGGATACGTGAACTTTTGGACCACTAATAATCTTCATGACCAAATGAAATTTCCGGCAGGTTTTTTTTTTTTTTTTTTTGAGATATACCTAAAGTACCATCCAAATTTCCTTAAAAAGGTACAGTTCAATGGTTTTTAGTCTATTCGGTTTGCACAATCAGCACAACAGATTTTAAAGTATTTTTGGCCAGTAAAAGTCACCCAAACAAAGGGGGGGGGAGTGTGTGTGTGTGTGAGAAAGAAAGAGAGCGAGAGAGAGAGAGAGAGAGAGAGAGAGAGAGAGAGAGAGAGACTCAATAAGTGGTATCGTTTTAATATTCCATAGTTGCTGTAAATTCCTGGAAGTGTTTGCTCTCCATATGCCACAGGAGCTGAAGGAAATACACTTGGCTACACTTGGGCGGGATCTCTGCAATTCCACCTGGAACTCCATCTAGAGTCTTCCAGTTGAACACGGGACAGTCTTGTTCAATAAATAAAATTCAGGTAATAGTAAAAAGGTAGTTCCTGGAGTCCAGTTCTTTGCAGAGTCCATTATCGAAAATAGTCAAGTAACCACTTCCACCAGCTCTGCAGCGTACACCGAGATTAGCCCAGGGGCCCACGGGGTCGCTTTGGGAAGCGGCGGCCGCGGAGAGCCCTACCTGGCGCCTTTTGTTTCCGAGTACTGAGAAACAATGAGCCCAGCACCGACCAGGCGCCGACCGCGTAGATTATAGACATCCGCCGGTACCAGGCAGAGGCCTGTTCAGGAAGCATGGCAAAGCGCGGAGCGGAAAGCCAAGGCCCCCGGGACGCCAGAAGCACAGAGGGTGGCAACTCCAGCAGTGGGGAGCCAGCCCCGCATCCACTTCCTGTTCTAGCCGCGATGCATCTTGGGACTTGGAGTCCAAAGTCACTAGGACTCTTTAGAGGCTCGGGTTTGGGGGACTGTGGCTTAGGTGCTCAACAGCCAATGGGCAAACTACACTCCATACCAAGGGATGGCGACTTGGGTAGAAACTTCCTCACTCGCAAAGTTGTAATGCCTGCCTTACATAAATCAGACGGTATTTAAATGGCATACTCTATTTCCTTTAAAGACTGTCAGACTTGGGGGTTCACTATACCTGCAACTCGCTTCTTTCTTATTGTACCTACCTGGAACTCTGGGCCCTATTCTTTGCGGCCTCTTATTCCTTTCCCATCCATTACACCTTGTCACCCTCCTCTCCTGGTCCTCACCGTATGGACTTTCAGCCTCCGTCATACAAACGTGTATACATCTCAAAACAAAAATTGTTTCTGTCGACTGTACGATTTTCTCTTATTCATACACTTTTTCCAAGAATAATTAATTTGAGACCAAGGCTGAGGTGCTTACCTAGAGCAAATCAGTGAACTGCCCTATTTTAAGTCACACAAACTTGACTTCTACAGCAATTGACACCATTGACCCTGCATGCTTCTTTGGTGGCTTCAGAAACATTTTCCTGTTATCTTTCGGGGCTCCTTTGCCCTACAGAAATCTGCATTTAACTCTAATGGGATCAAGTGGCTTAAATATAAATGCTAAAATTATAAATCTAGAAGCAAGCACAAAAGAAAATCTTTGCTACCTTGGGATGGCTCAGTGGGTAAAGGCTCTTGCCTCAAAGGTCTGGCGACCTGAGTTGGATCCCTGGAACCCATTTAGAAGTGGAAGGAACAAGCTAACTCCACAAAGTTGTCCACTGACCTTCATACATGCATCATGGCATGCAATAATAATAAATACATTTTTAAATCAGTTCAATTATAAAAAGACAATCAAATTAAAAATAGGCAATGCACCAATTACCAATAAACATAGGATTACCAGCCATCAAAGAAATGCAAGTGAAAATTATAGACAGCATTGCATTGCATATGTATTAGAATGGCTAAAATTAGGTTAATAATGACAAAAGTTGTAAGGATTTGTAGTAGGAATTTTTTTGTATGTGCATACACAAGTTCATGTATGCGTACATGGAGCCAGAGTTTAACATCAGTGTCTTCCTCAGTCACTCTCCTCCACCTTATTTGAGGCAATCTCTCGCTGAACCTGGACCTCATGGATTCAGCTAGACTGGCTGGCCAGCAAGCCCTAAGGATTCTCCTGTTTCTCTCTCCAGCCCTGGGATTGTCGGCACTCTCCTCTGTGCCTGTTTTTTTTTATTTGGGCACAGGGTCCTCGTTTATGCAGCAAACACTTAACCCATTTAGCATCATCTCCCCAGCTCCTTGAAAGCTGGAAGCCTTACCGATGGCAACATAAAATGTTACAGCCTCTTTGCAAAGCTCGGAGTTTTAAAAGTTGACATATGGGGCTGGAGAGATGGCTCAGCAGTTAAGACAAGGGCTGTTCTTACAGAGGACCTGGGTTTAGTTCTCAACACCCGCATGGCAGCTAACAACCATCCAGAGCTTCCATTGCAGGGGATCCAATACCCTCTTCTGATCTGCACGGGGATTGCACAACACAGGTGCACTTACATACATGCAAGCAATACACTCATACACATAAAATACTTTTAAAAAGTTGAACATGCGGGGCATGGTGGCATACGCCTTTAATCCTAATACTCGGGAGGCAGAGGCAGACAGATCTCTGTGAGTTTGAAGCCAGCATGGTCTACATAGCAAGTTCCAGGCCAGGTGGGGCTACAGGGAGAACCTGCTTAAAAAAAAAAAAGAAAAGAAAAAAGAGAGAAAGAGACAAAGAAATATTTGAACATATGACTATATTGCAATCCATTCAATTCTATTCCAGTCCTAGTTATTTCCTCAAGAGAAATGAAAACCCCATGTCCACAAGACATGTGCATGATGTTCAAAAACATTATATTCATAGTAACAAAAGTAGTAACCACTCAAATATTCAAGAAGTGAAAAATAGGTAAAAAGTGATAGAGCACTCATAATCTCAGATGGATTATGGTAAGTGAAAGACAAGCATGAAAGAAACCAGGTATGAAGGTCGAAAAGTGAACTAATATATAGAAGGAGAAAGCTGACCTGTAGTTGTCTATGGTCAACATATAGGCTTCATGGGTATACACATCTATCAAAAGACAGTGAATTGTACACTTTAACGAATGCAGTTATTGTATGAAAAATGTATCAATGAAGTTGTAAAAAGCGAAACGGTATTTCACACTTCTCATTCTGTTTTTATCAACTTTATGTAATTTCCTTTATATACTAATGACCCCTAACTTAGATTCTCTGCTGGAAATCCACATAGATTGTCAGCCTGCTAGACACTTACAGCTTATATCTCACACATGCATCTTAAAATGTACAGAATTGAACTTATAAATGCCATACTCCTCACACAGTCTTTCTCTTCCTATTCCCTAATTCGGAGAATGATTGCAAAACCATCACAGCCAGAAATATGGACCCCTCCTCATCTGACATCTCATCCATCACCTCTGAATACCTTGCCTCAGTTCTCTCTCCCATCCTTCCTATCCCTCCAGAGTGCTACAGTTCTTCCTACCTTAACTGACCATTTCAGCCCCTGCCTGAGACTTGCCTTGCCTTCAAAAAGAGTTGAGAGTGTGCATGATACACTAGACTCAGTGGCACCCACTTAGGATAGCTGTTCATCACACACTACTACCCTTCACCTCCACTGGAATCCAAAGGGCCAAGTCTTTTGCATCATTCACTTAGTGGTGCTCTCACCTCATTTTTACCAGATATATCATCACACCAGGCTGGAATTATCATACTCTTTCCTCTGTTAATTTGTAACAGAAAGATCCAATGAAGAAACTGGAATTTCAACCTGTTTCCACAGTTTTATTTACTCTTCTACAAAGTGTGTCTCAATTAAGAATTATACAAAAATATTAGGGAAGAAGAAATATTATGAAAATCCTTGAAATTTAAAATATAATTTAGATAGCAAACATTTCTAAAACATAAAGCAGAGAGACAAAAGAAGAGTAAATACAAACTCAAAAGATAGAACATCAGAAATCACTCCAGGTGGTCTAATATCCAATTAATACTTCTGTTTCATTTTTCTACCTAGAACTAATTTTCTTTTCTTTGGGTCTGGCAAGATGGCTCAGCAGGTAAAGGTACTTGCTGCCAAGCCTGGCACACTGAGTTTGATTCCTGGAACCCACATTGTGGAAGAAGAAAACTGATTCCTTGCAAGTTGTCCCCCCATCTTCACACCATAGCACACGCATGTGCACAGACACGCATATACACAAAATAAATTTTAACAAAGAAGAGTGCTTTTGCTCTTGTCATCTGGAATATTTTCCTTCAAGTGGCACGAGGAAAGGCCATGGCATTAAGCCCCTGGGGAAAACACAATAGCACTGCCTCTCCCTTACATCATCACAACTGTACAAGTGCTTTAGTTTCACCATCAGCTTAGACATAAGAATTAGAATTATGGCTACGGGTTAGAACATACATTTTACCAGTCTTCATAACATAAAAAAAAAAAAAGGTATAGTTAACCCAAACTGGAGGGTAGACAGAAATTTCCTAATATCCTCATTGTACAAAAACAGGAATTGAGAGATACTGGCTAAAATTGAATATATCAACAATCAAAAACATGAAATGAACATGGTTATTGCTGAAGAGTCTAGGGTTAGGGAGTGGAGGAAACTGTTATTTATTATAAATTCTTTAGGATAGGGGTTTGTTTTGTTTTGACCATATATATATACACTACTTTTAAAAATAGTATTCTAACTATAATAGTACCTGTTTTACCTAGTGCTCAGGGTAAATGTGCCATTACTCTGTAGGGGCCTCTTATGCCCATCAGCAACGACGTCCACCTAGGCTGGACTATTGACCCGGCATTACCTGTGAGTCAGGGTGGCACCCTCTAAACCATACTGCCAGGGCAATTTCACACATTTCATATTTTTCCATGGTTTCTTAGCATTTAGATAACGAATGAGGATTGAGGTCAGAAACAGCTGTATAAGGATCTTTCTCTCTCTCTCTCTCTCTCTCTCTCTCTCTCACACACACACACACACACACACACACACACACACACACACACACACACACACACACACACACACACACACACACACACACACACACACACACACACACACACACACACACACACACACACACACACACACACACACACACACACACACACACACACACACACACACACACACACACACACACACACACACACACACACACACACACACACACACACACACACACACACACACACACACACACACACACACACACACACACACACACACACACACACACACACACACACACACACACGCACACACACACACACTTATCAGGAGACAAAACTGGTATCAGTATTATTTTAGACAATGCTGTCCTCATTCAGATTTATTTCCTTTATGATCATTAAGATTTTCACTTAAATAAAGCAGCCAAAATACATAAACTCTTATTTTATATTTACTCTAAAATGTTAGGATACAAAATAAGTAAACATTTACAATTACCAGAACATTTATGACCTTATAATTTGATGTCCAAGAAAAAGGGCAGAGATAAAGAATATAAATAAATTATAGTTTAAAGACGTACATACAAAAAAACTCTTAGATTATTTATTAAGATCTGCAAGAAACGTGAAAGGAATGTTATAAAGTCATTAACAAAAATGTGAGCATAATCTGATAGCCTCATCTTCAATTTCCTGGCCACTGTGACTTTAAGAGGCACTGGACACAGCCAGCTTCTTCAAGTGATCCATGAACACCTGCAGGCTAACGTCATCAGTTAGGATGGGTGCTCCAGTTTCCTGAAATGTAACAACAAAGGCTTACTGGCAAAGACCTTAATAGCCACTTGGGATTCCCAAGTTTTGCTCCCACCATCCTGCCTCTGTCTAGCTAGTTAACTAAGTCCACAGAAGCATACCTATCTCTACTTTACCCCTTCCCCAGTTCTGTGGATTCATCTGGCGTCAAGCTCCCTTCCAGGGTATGTACACCATTCCCTCACAGAGCACATTACTGCCTGCACTGAGCCCTACCTGTGAAGTGATCTGCTTCTAATGGGAATGGTGTTGTCACAGGTGAGTGAATGAGTGACAACAGAAGGTATTTGTATTATCACATCCTTATGATTTAATTAATGTTGTGAGGAAAAGAATTGGGTAGAAACCTCAGTTTGTGGCAAGATCTCAAATTTGTAAAGAAATAAATAGCAAACAAATGTACACAGATAATATACCCAGTTTTTATTACCTAAGAAGTAGCTAGAAATAATGGTTATGGATAATTTTATTTCTTTCTTTCTTAAAGTTCATATAGAAACACAAAAGACCCTGAATAGTCAAAGCAATCCAGATTAAAAAGTGTAATGCTGGAGGTCTCAGAAGTTCCAATTTCAAAATATATCATGGAGTACATTAACAAAAATAGAATGGTCCTGGTATAAAAACAGGCATATAGACCAATGGAACAGAACAGAGCAGCCAGGAATCAGCCTACACACCTACAGCCATCTGATTCTTGGTAAAGGACCCAAAAACATACATTGGAAAAAAAAGACAGCCTCTTCAACAATAGTGATGGGGAAACTTCTACATGTCCATATATATAAGACTGAAACAAGATCCCTATCTTCATTCAGTACAAAAATCAACTCAGAACATATCCTCATCACTAAACAACATAAGACTGTACCAGGTAAACATTTATCAAAGAAGGAGTAGCTTTATTAATGTCAAATAAAGTAGATGTCAGTGCAAAGAAACTTACTAGAAACACAGAGGGTACCACGTAATGATAAAGGGGTCAACCCACCAAGAAAACAGTAATCCTAAATACGTATGCACCAGTAAGAGCTAAAAAAATAGATGAGGAAAAACTGACAGAGGTAAAAAGAGGAACAGATACCTGGCGTGAGAGCTCAAAAATTCAACAGCCTCATTCAGAAATGGATAGAACCAGACAGATAATTGGTAAGGGTATATAAGAACTTAATGCCACTGATGAATAGGATTGAGCTGACATTATAGAACACACTACTCAACAGCTGCACAATGTGCATTCTTTTCAAGTGACCATGGAACATAAACCAAGATGGGCCATGTCCCAGATTGTAAAACAAACTTCAACACATTTAAGAGAACTGAAATCATACAAAGTAGATGCCCCAAACACAATCAACTCAATAACAAGAAAACGGAAATCTCTGCATACTTGGAAACTAAGCAACATGGGTGAGCCAGTTAAACAGTGCTGGGAGGGAAGCAGCACTAAAGAGAGGACAGAAAAGTCTCACTAACAATTTACTCCCCATCATCAGAGTAAGAGAAACCTGAAGTGAATAGGAGGAAGCAACAGCGATCACTGAAATTGAAAATAAAAAAACAATGGAGAAAAGTCAACAAAATGAAGAACTGCTACTTGGAAAAGGTCAGCAGAACTGCCAGATCTCCAAAAAAACTAACAAGGAAGAAAAGATGAGGCATACTAGCATAAGGAATAAAACGGGAATCACACACACACACACACACACACACACACACACACACACACACACACAGTGCTGGGTTTGATAGCTTAACCAAAATAGATCAGTTTCTCAAAAAACAAAGCTGCCACAATTATCCAATATGGAAGAGATAATTTTTAACATCCCTATAACAGAAAAATTGAATGAGCAATCTGTAAAGTCTCCATGATCTTGTTAGAACATGATCATGTTAGAAATGTCTAACAAACATCTTAAGAATTAACCCAAATTCTACCCAATCTCAATTAGAAAACAGAAGTCAGTATTTTATTTTTACTTTTGAGATAGGCTCTCATTTATCTCAGGCTGGCCTCCAAGTCACTATGTCATTGAGGATGACCTTGACCTTCTGACCCACCTGTCTTACTTCCAGAACCCCCAGATCACAGGTGTACTATCACACCCAGATTATGTGGTTTTGGGGGTAGAACCCAGAGCTTCCTGAATGCTAGGCAAGCACCTGACCAATAAAGTTACATTACAGACTAGCAGTCAACAAAAATATAGATATAAAATTCTTCTACAAAATATCAAATGGAATTTGGCAATACAGAAAAAGGACAATAAACTATGGCCAAATGATGTTTACTTAAAAACATAAGGTTGATTTAATATTCAAAAGTATCAATGCAATTTACCATATTAACAAGAAGGGCTAAAAAAGAAAAATTATGGTGATACCAATATATTCGTTTAAAAATATTTCAACATTCAACATTCATTCATAACAAAAAATTCCAGAAAAAATATCAAGAGGGCTCATCCCTCAATTTGATAAGAGGAGCTATGAAAATCCTACAACTACCACTGTACTCAGTGCTGAGGACAAATGGTTGCCCTCTAAGACTGGGGTCTAGTGAAGGATGTCCTAGTGCTAAAAGCTCTCACCACCACAATAGGAGAAGGAAATAAAAGGCATTCAGATTAAAAGAAAGACATAAAAACTGTCCCTACTTGCAGGTGGCATAACTAAGTAGAAAATCCCAAGAAATCCATCAAAACCTCTTAAAAGTGATATAGTCACGGAATACAAGAATGTGCAAAAATAACTGTATTTCTACATACTAACAATGACCAGTTGGACATTGACAGTACTGCCAGGTATCGTGGAGAATACCAATAATTTTAACACTCAAGAGGCTGAGGCAAGAACATCAAGTTCAAGGTCAGCTTGGGCAATATAGAAACATCCTACTTCAAAACAAAGTAAGTAAAATAAAATGAATACCATTCACAACCACCTTTTAAACAGAGAAAACATATACTACTAAAAAAAAAAGAAAGAAAGAAATCAAGGGGCTGGAGAGATGGCGCAGAGGTTAAAAGCACTTGCTCCTCTTCTAGAGGACCTGAATTCAGTTCTCAGCACCATGTCAGGCTGCTTACAACTACCTGTAACTCCAGCTCCAAGGTCTCCACAGGCACTTGCACACACATGTGCACATATACTCACACACACAAACACTTAAAAGAAGAAGAAATCAAAGGAAATTTAGTACATAGAACGTCACAGCAAGTTCATAACTGGATTCTCTTTAAATAGGCTTAAAGAAATTCTTATCAAAATTCTAGAAATACTTTTAAAGATACAAACAAAATAACTCTAAAATTCACAAAGAAAAGTAAAACAACTAGAATAACTAAGATAGTTTAAAGATAAGGTGGAGGAATCTAGTCTGACTTTAAGACTGTGGTATTGGTGATGAGATACAAACACAAATCAAAGGGCTGGAGAGATGGCTCAGCGGTTAAAAGCACTGGCTGCTCTTGCAGAGGACCAGGGTTCTAATCCCAGCACCCATATGACAGCTAACAATCATCTGTTAATCCAGCTCCAGGGGATCTGATGCCCTCTTCTGATCTCCATGGGCACTGCACAATATGGGTCCACTTACAGACATGCAGGCAATACACTCATACACAAAAAATAATAATAAGGAAAACACAAATCAATAAAACTGAGCAGAACACCAAGAAATGGTCGCACATACACATACCCTACTATGATCTTTGACAAAAATGCAAAAACAATTCAAGAAACAAAGTCTTTTTCATAAATGACACTGAAGCAATTAGACAGTCATATGCAAGAGAGACCACAATCTACCTTCATATATTAAACAAAAATTAAATCAAAATGGATTATGGCCTAAACTGCAAACACAAAGTTATATAAAAAATTTTAAGGGAAAAAGAAAATGAAAGTCAGGAGAAATATCTCTGGGCTCTAGAACTAGTGAAAGAATTCTTAAACTTGACATCAAAAGGAAAATCCAATAAAGTAGATAACATAAAAATGTAAAACTTCACTGGCCATGATGGTGTGCACAATCCCAGCACCTGGGAAGCAGAGGCAGGCACATTTCTATGAGACTGAAGCCAGCCTGGACTACATATCAAGTTCCAGGCCAGTTGGTGTTATACAGAGAACCTATGTCAAAAAAACAACAACAAAAAAAGGTAAACTTCTGTCATGAAAGGCCTTGTGAAGAGAACAGTAAGGTACTAACTATGCACTTGAAAGGGACTAGCATCTAAAATACATAAAGAACTCTCAAACTCAACAGTAGAAAGGTAAATGATCCAATCAGAGCACGGACAATGAGTACAAAGACACTTCACAAACAATATACAGATGGCAAACATATCAATTTTGTCGAACATGTGGCTGTTCAACATCATCAGTCATTAGGAGAACACAAATTAAACCATAGATAGCTGGGTTTGGTAGCATATACCTAGAATTCCAGGACTGTGGATGCTCAAGTAGGAAGATCACAGTTGGAGGCCTGTGTGGGTTACACTGCTAGATTTTATCTCTAATAGACAGGGGCTGGATGAAGCTCAATGGTACAGTGCTTGTGTAGCATACACAAGGCCCTCATTCAACCTGAAGCACTGATAAAAAAATAGCCATGAAAAGATACTTACAGGAATAGCAAAAATGAAAGCCATGACAATACCAAATGCCAGTAAGGATGCAATGAAGCTAGATCACTCATTCACAGCTATAGGGATATAAAGGGATGTAGATACTCTGAAAAAGGGTAGCAGTTTCTTTAAAACATACTAACATGAAACTACTATAGGATCTATCAAATGTGCTCACGGGCATTTATCTAATGAAGATGTATGTTCAAATAAAACCTATTCAAGTAGATTTACACAATTTCATTCCTAACACCTCAAAACTGTGAACACTCCAGATGTCCTTGAATGGATGAATGATTAGACAAAGTGTAATATATGAAATGAATATATACTGTGGATAATACCCTGCAAATAAAAAGTAACGAATTATTGATGCACATTACAATGTGGAACAATCTCTAGATAATTACACTTGAGTGAAAGAAACCAATTGTAACAGATTATCTACTGTATGACTTCATATATATAGTTTGCTGTTTGTTTTTGGTATGTGTGTTCCTAAGTTGGAACCCAGGAGCTTGTCCCAGCCTTATCTAACATTCTTGATAATGAAGTATAGAAATGCTGAGCAGATTAGCAGGTGCCAGGTAAGGAGGGAGGGGGCGTGCATAAAGATTGTAAAAGGCACATGAGACATCACCACAGTGATGGAAATGTTTATCTTCACTATATTGTATCAGTAACAATATTCTGGGTGTGATATTGAATTATCATTTTAGAGGATGTAACCATTAGTATAAAAATTAATTATAGGGGAATCTCTTTGTATTATTTCTCACAACTGCAGATAAACCTATAATTATCTCAAAAAACAAGTTCAATTAAAAAACATTATGAGTCATTGAAAGAGAAACAAATGTTGGGAATTATTGGACAAAGGAGTCAGACTGAAAAGTGGAGAGGAGACAGAGCATAAGGGAGCAAGAAATGCACTGTGGGCATGAGAGGACTTGAGAACATGTTGTCACATGTCTGAGAGCTTTGTAGAGGCCATGGTGGACTGTTCAGTCCCTGGCACAGTATGCTGTGTGTAGGAGACCCACACAGGCAGCTATGTCATCGGAAGCTCCCGCCCCCAGCAAAATACCCATGTTACTCTGTTTTCGAACTAAAAGGATTCCCATTTAGAGGATTTTTAAACAGCTTTAAATAAAAGTAACCTAGCCCTCTGCCTAAATATTTGACAAGTTCTTACCTGTCCCCAAGCATACAGGTTATTGTGTGTCTGAGATGGGTTGACTTTGGACAACAGGAATCGAGCCTTAAAAAAAGAGTTTAAAGATTAAAAGTAATATTAATATTAGTAAAAAAAAAAAAAGTGGACAAGTTTTTGCAACATTTCTTTGGTTAAATTAGATTTTTTTTTTCTTTTGACTATGTAGAAACCTATTGTTTTAGCTTAAGGCCATTAGCTGCCTACCTACCAAGAATTTAGACATATTGGTAAACCTTGGACTTTTATAGCAGCATATTCATTTGTAAAGAAGTCACTAGTGGGCATGGAAGTATACATTTGTAATCCCAGCACTTGAGAGGCAGAGGTAGGAGGATCACATGTTTGAGACCACCCTGGCTACACAGTGAGTTCCAGGCCAGCCTGGAACTAAAACAAAACAAAAATCATTGTTAAAAGACCATCTATATGCAAATTTCTGCCACTACATAAAAGAGTAACCAACCTATTCATGGAAAGAAACAAAGAAACAAAAAGAAAGAAAGAAAGAAAGAAAGAAAGAAAGAAAGAAAGAAAGAAAGGAAGGAAGGAAGGAAGGAGAAAAGCAAGCATTAGAGCTAGGGCCAGCCTCACCCACCTGACTACCACCATGCTCTGTGTTGATATAACGTGGCATCGGGAATCATGCTTGCAGAATTTCTTGAGCATCATCTAATGGGGCCTGTAGAAGGTGCTTGAAGTTTTCATACTCAGGCATGTCCTGGTATCCAGCTTTACGCCACTGGGCTATGGTCTACATGAAAACAAACCAATCAAAACGGTTGCTGAAGAACTGATGGCAGCTCACTGACACTTCTGACATCCATCCACCAGCACCATCCCACACAGGTTACCGGGAAAGAAGTCTGTGATGGGTAGTGTTAACTGTCAGTTTGAAAAACTCTAGAATCACCTGTAAGATGGGTCTCTGGAAGTCATCCACAGACAACCCGGGAATCCACAGGCCCTGTGTAATGGTCTCTATGCCAGGCTATCTCGTCAATAAAAATCTATAGTCCCCACCCTAACTCACAGACTCTGAAAGGATAGCAGTGTACACAAAATGTTTACTGAGGAAGAATAAATGGGCCTTGCCTAACAGTGCATTACATAAGGACATAAACTACAATAACTTGAAGGGACCACTTGAGATTTACTCACAGCAAATGCTATTTATCTCACAAAACAAAAATTCTCCAGGGACCTAAAAAAAAGTTTTATTCGCTACAACAAAAGTCACTATATCATTAATAGGAAGTTATAGGTTTTCTAAGCCCAAATTCTTATTGGAAATGTCACAGAAAAGTAAAATTGATATAACAAGAGGGCTGGCAAAATGGTTTAGTGAGTAAAAGCACTGGCCACCAAGGCTGATGACTTGAGCTTGATCCCCAGGACGCACATGTTGGAAAGAGAACAACTCCTCCTACAAGTTCTCCTCTAACCTCTACATATTTGCTGTGGAATACATGTAAACGCATGCATATATGCACACAAAATAAATAAATAGAAATAAATAAGAAACGAGAGTCAAGAAAGATACTAATAACTTACCTCAAAAAAAATAATAATATCTTACCTCACCAAGATAAATGACAATTTGGAAGAAAGTATCCATCAGCAAAATTCTGTCAGCTAGAATGCTACTGCTATCCAGGAGCACGGGCTGAGGACAGAGAGAGACAGGGTTGTCTTCCTCTTCCCCACACCGCACCTGCCCCAACACCACACCCAGAAGTCCACAGAACAGCCAGGAAGCTGTTTACAAGCGGTTTCCCACACAAGGCTCCCCTCTTCACACACTCCTGCTTCCGGCTCCCCAAACAGGTGGCCCTCAGTCTCCATTCTGTAGAAGAAACAGGACCCCAGTAATCCCTCATGGATTGGGGGAGAACTTGATGCTATCTTGTGATTCAGAAAATAATTCTGAACATTCTCAGTTTTGTGCTAGAAACGTATCAGTCTGATCTTTCAAGTCTACTTCAGCTACAGTTAAAATGAACAGGGATGCCTGGATGAAAAACAGAATTTAATACACGTTTTCAAAGTTTACTACAAAATATATTTTATTTTGATTTTTTACTTCAATAAGAAAAGTAACTTGTACTCATTTTAGAGAATTTGAAGTTGGAAATAACAGATTTTGATATTTTGGTTTAATTCAGCATAGTTATTTCCATAGGCTTCTAATACAAGTAACTTAGATTTCTTTTGTTATTGCTTTTTAGTTTAAGGATCTTCATTGGCTTTATTTGCAAGTCAAGCAACACTCCATTCCATAAAGTACAGAAATATTCTTTTAAAGGGTTTCTGCTTTGATGCCACTCACTCCTCCCCTACAAAGCAGCGATGCTGGAGTCAGATGGAGCCGAGATTCCAGCTTTGCCTTTGACTGTGCCAGCAATTCGCTCCATAAGTATTCTTTTCATTTCTTTATTTTTTTGTAGCCCCAGCTGTCCTGGAACTCACTATGTAGAACAGGCTGGCCTTGAACTCACAGAGATCCGCCTGCCTCTACCTCCTGAGTGCTGGGATTAGAGGCATGCACCACCATGCCCAGCTTCTTTTCATTTCTTATTTTCAATTATTTGTCTCACTCTTGCATCTATGTCTCATGATGCGTTTGTTTCTGTCTGCGTATTGCTCAGTTAGGTTTCAGGATTGTTGTGTACTTTTCTCCAGCAGTTTACTGTAAGGCATTCTTTACTGCAAAGTGTCTACTTTGATTTTGATCACAACATTTTTACATTTTATTATGTTATAAATTATGTGACTGTTTCTTCAAATACGTCAATATTCCTTCTACTGATGCTTTACCATCTAGTGTTTTGTTTGTTGTTCTGCAATGCTGGGGATCAAACCAGGCCTTCATGCATTCAAAGCAAGCTTTCTATGAAGTGAGCTATTCCTGGCTCCCAGTTCTCTTGTGGTACCCATTTTCTGTTTCATTGCATTTATAAAGCCTCTTCTGTATTTCTAGGTATACTTTGCTCAGATACTTCACAAGGATTGGAGCTACTAGTCAAAGTATGTGGACTCATACCATTGTAATTTTATTTTATTTTTTAATGTTTATTCCTGGTTTCCACCAAGAATAGCTTTAATATATCCTTTGACTTTTTCTTATGATTTTTTTTAATACTCAGAAAAAGCATTAAGATCCTATAAGCTCAAAGTTTCTCTTTTTTTAATAGACAAGACTATATTTTTAAAATATATATAAGGCTATATTTGGTAGGAAAACAACAAAAAAAAAAACATGATTAGGTAATTCCATTCTCCTAGAGTGTGTCTGTCCAGCCTTACCTCCGGTGGTCCATGGAAGGAGTACGAGTAGAGAATGGGCTGGATCATGATGAGGGACTGAGTCAGATCCTGACGGGCAAAGTGGTGTCTGTAATAGGACGACTCATCGGGACTATTGTTAAACACCTGAAGAAATGGTGATCTCCTCAGATGGAACATGAACTACATTTACAAAAGAAAAAAGACAAATGAACACAGCTGTAAGGCTGGATACTCAGAAAGTCAGTCCACGATGAATCTCTGAAACAGGAGAACCCAGAACCTAAGAAAATGTCTCTGGGTCACAGAGATACAAAGTAGAAGGTGGCACCAAGGTTGGTGGAAGTGGGAAACGGGAAGCACTGTTTACTGGGCACAGAGCTCCAGGTGGTTTTTGTTTGTTTTATGACATGTGGTCTCATCTATCTGGTCCCAAATGTGAGATCCTCCATCTTCTGCCTTCCAAGTACTAGAATTACAAGTATGTGCCAATCACACATGGCTCAGTTTTGCAAGATAAAAAATGTTAGAGTATTGACTTCTGGATTTTGGCACCAAAAAAAAAAAAGAAATCTAGAGCTGCTACAAACATGGCTAAGTGGTTACAGCACTTACTGCTCTTGCAGAGGACCCTAGCTCTGTTACTAGAATCCACACTGGGTAGCTCACAGTCTCCTATAAGTCCAGCTCCAGGGATCCAATGTCCTCTTCTGGCAGTCCAGGCAACCACATATACATGGCAGACAGACACGCACACAGACAGACACACACAGAGACAGACACACACATCCACATGAATAAAATATAAGTTTTGTGGGTTTTTTCAGTTTTTTTTTTTTTTTTTTTGTCTTTTTTTTTTTTTGAGACAGCGTTTCCTTGTAGCCCCCTTGTCCTAGAACTCACTATGTAAACCAGGCGGGCCTGGAACTCACAGAGATCCGCCTGCCTCTGCCTCCCAAGTGCTGGGCAGTAAGACCTCTCTTATGCTGTGGCTCACACCACAAAGCACCAAGTGTATTTTTCTCCCATTGGACTTAATTTCTTTGAGAACAGATATTGTCTCTCTTGAAGAAGTCCCTGCATAGCCCAGGAACTCTCTAGTGCAGGGGTCCTGGGGTTGGAGGTTCTGGTGGAGTCAGTGGTCCAGGGTGGTGGGTGCAATAAGAGAAGCACCAAATCTGCTCTTCCTGCTGGCTTTTGAGGGAGGATCCTCTGGAGGAAAGGATTTCACAGCTTTAAAGAGACTGCAAACCACTGCTCCAGAATGACTCTTCCCTTCTAAAGATGAGCAAACAAAGACTCACAAGGGTCTCAAACCTCATATAAGATTAGTAGCAACAGGGCCAGTGCTGGTGCTCTACCCTGATTAGCAGAGTCTAGGGCTCTTCCACACCACTGCACGGCGTCAACTTCTCACTCAGGCATAGGCACCTAAAAGTCCCAGGGCCCCATTGCCTGTCTCACACACCCAAGTTGCCACAACAGTGCCATACACTTGGTTGGCTTCAGTGGAGATTCAGATCATGTGGAATAGCCTTTGTCACTTGTAGTTAAGAGTCTCAAACCAGAAAAACTGTCACTTTATCCTAGGAACAGAAAAGCTCATTTTTAACATGATTTATTCTTCTATGATTATGTTTTAAACATATTTCTTACCTGAGGATACAGAGAAAAGGAATCTGATAACCTAAAAGAAGTGGGGTCTTCTTTGTTATACTGTCCAAACTTCTGACACTGTTAAAAGAAAATGGGTAAGAATCTAAATTAGCGACACCTAGAAAAACCCCAGCCCTAAGAACTGCTACTTTCTGTGAGTTTAGAATAGCACATGTCAGGCATGAAGGGCACACAAATCGTCAGGCCTTGTTAAAGCACAGACTCTGAGGACTAGGGGTGGAGTTCAGTGGTAGAATACATAGCATGGCCAAGGCCCTGGAGTTACACCCAGAATTTAAATTAAAAAAAGGCAAACTCTGGGAAAGAGCTGGGAATCCTGCATGTCAAACGAACTCGAGGCAGTGCTGGCCTGAGGATGACCACAGTTGTGTTCAATGAGATCTCAGGCACTTTTCCAGACAAAAAAACCCTGTAAGACCATGAAAACCATCGATTTCAGATACACCTGCTATTATTCTGAGGATCACAGCTCAGTTTCCTTCCTCCTTTCAATGGCAGGCTTCCTAACCAGGATGTTGTCCCTTCCTATTTTATTGTAGTCATTCATTCATTCATTCATTCATTCATTCATTCATTCATTCATTCATTCATTCATTCATTCATTCATTCATTCATTCATTCATTCATTCATTCATTCATTCATTCATTCATTCATTCATTCATTCATTCATTCATTCATTCATTCATTCATTCATTCATTCATTCATTCATTCATTCATTCATTCATTCATTCATTCATTCATTCATTCATTCATTCATTCATTCATTCATTCATTCATTCATTCATTCATTCATTCATTCATTCATTCATTCATTCATTCATTCATTCATTCATTCTTTGAGAAACAGGGTCTCACCATGTAGCCCTTGCTGGCCTCAAACTCAAGGTGATTCTCCTCCCTCAGTTTCCAAGTGCTGAGATTACAGGCATGCACCATCTTGCCCACCCTTGCCTTTATTTCTGATCAAACCTTTCCTCTAGCTACTAGAGCAGTAGGCCCTGGGGTTCTTCTAAAACCCCATCCCTAACAATTGCCTTTCTCCTGTCAAACCTAACATCCTCTCACAGTTCTCATATTCTTGTACTGCCCAATAGCATTAGCCAAATGGTTTCCCAAACTTCTTAAAGTTTTCCCCTTTATCTGGCAAGATGGCTCAGTGGGTAAAGATTCTTGCCACCACATCTGACAACTAGAGTTCATTCAATCCCTGGGACCCACATGGCAGAAGAAGGGTAACAAGTCATCCTCTGACCTCCACATGCGAATTATGGTGCTTGTGTGCACACACACACAAATAAATTAAAAAAGCCTTTCTCCTTAAGCTGCTAAAATAGCCACTTTGCTTTTTCTCATCATCTCTCCAATGAGTCCTTCTGTGTTCAAGGTTCCTTGTCCTCCTCCCTCTTCCTGTGGATGCTCAAAAGTTGGTTCTTGTTCCCCTGTTCCCATCCTCACTGTTCTAGCTACAAAGGAATACCACAAACAGACCAATGTCATCTAGATCCCTACCTTGGTGTTGCCTCAGCTCCAGCTGGGACTTTTACCTAAGTACATGATCACTTTCCTTGGACTAACTTTTCTTGCTTACATTCAACCTAACAAAGATATATTATTACATTAAAAAAAGTTCCTACCCTAACATTGCCCACCTTTCCTATTTTCTACCCAACCACCATCCTTGTAGTGGTCTACCCCTGAAATGTAAGTCAACCATGGTTTTCTGATTGCTTATTTAATAGTCATTTTGTAGAGTTGTAGTAATTCTGCTTTTCAGTTTTTAACTCCTAGATTTGCAGCACTCCACAAATATTCCATGCATGTCGTGTCTTCCAGACTATAAAGTCGACCTTGAGGGGAAAACGGACATCTAATACTTCTTTCCTGTCACTCTGAGGATGCCCAGTATTTGGCCCAAGGTAAGAAACTGTTAAATTGTTGACTATAAAAAATATAAGTTTAAGAAGCAATTTTCTTTTCTCAAAGGTGAAACAGACACAAAGACTGAACCCAATGCCACTGTTCCCAGTTTACCAGTCGGATGAGTTGTCGATCCAGCCACCGGAGTACGTCAGGCCCCTCCTCTGACTCTGCCCGGAACACTCCCAGCCGTGCCATCAAGACTGCTGCAGCCTCCTGGTCAAATGCTGCTTCTATGTGCCTCAGCTGACTCTGTGCATCTGCCCAACTGACAAGCCCAGAGTTAGTGCCACGCTTCAGGAGCTGGTCATGTTCAGGAATTGATCCCCACTCAGACCAACACAGATCACGCCCCTCTGTCTAAGATAAGGATTTGCACAGTATTTTTGCTAAGTTTGCTGTTCATTTGCGCTCACCCTCTGGTATTCTCTAAAGCCTAAACGTACAAAAGGTAAACTTCCCCATGTCCCACCAGACACAAAAGTACACACCCAAAGGGTATTAAGTCTCAATCTACTGTGCCTTCCTCTAGGCCAAAAATACAAAAATCTCAGAGTTTACAAATTTACAAAATTTACCCTCTTAGAATTAAGCATAAAGCATATATACAAAAGCTTTTCAGGTGAACAAAGATAAACAAAGCTAAAAGACCAGGAATGGATAATCATATCCAAAATATATAAAGATTCTCTGCAAATCAACGAAGAAAAAGCAATACATAGTTGGGAATATATAAAGATTCTCTGCAAATCAACGAAGAAAAAGCAATAGGTTTTACATAGTTGGGCATGGAGGCCACATGTCTGCAAACACAGCACTGGGGGGATGGGCACAGGAAGATAAGGCAGTCTCATCTACACAGATCACCCTATACTACACAACTACATAATGGGTTCAAAGCCAGCCTGACCTATGAAATTGTGTCTCAAAATTCAAAAAAAAAAAAAATCAGGCAAAAGGCTCTGAGATGGTCAGCTTTGTCAGCATGACACAACCCAGAATCATCTGGGAAGAGAGTCTCATTGAGGGATTGCCTAGACCAGGTTGGCCTGTGGACATGCATATAAGGGTTTTTCTTTCTTTGTCTTTTAAAGATTTTTTAAAATGTGTGTGTGTGTGTGTGTATACACGCACATTTGTGTGTAGGTTCCCACAGAGGTCAGAAGAGGGCATCAGATCCCCTAGAACCAGAATTACAGATGGTTGTTAGTAACCATGTGGGTGCTGGGAAGTGAACCCAGGTCCTCTGCAAGAGCAGCCAGTGCTCTTAACTGCTGAACCATCTCTCCAACACCCCAGATTTTTTTCTTAATTCAAGTGGGAAGACCCAGTCCACTGTAGGTTGTACCCTTCCCTGAGTTTGGGTCCTAGACTGTGTAAGATGGAAAGAAATTAGCTGAGCAGTAGCATGCACTTAGTCTCTCTGTCCTTGACTGTGAATGTGACCAGCTCAAGCTTAGGTTGATGTGACTTCATCTCTAGAATGGACTATAAGCTGGAACTGCTACAATGAGCCCTTTCTCCCCTAAGCTGCTTTTTGTCAGGGCATTTTATCTCAATAAAAGAAGTAAAACTATAACAGGCTCTATTAGAGAAGCAGTATGTTTCGCCAATAAGCATGAAGTGTACTCAATTCATTGATAAACAGGGAAAAACAAATGAAGTGAGACATCACTCTCTATTTGTACGTAAAAGCTTAATATTGCCCACTAATAATGAGGCAACAGTGTCTTCTCCTTATCCTAATGAGAAGTGAACGAATCAGCTTCTTATGATAATAGTTTTGCTGTACGCAAAATTTCTATGAAATGGCTGTCAAGAAATATAGTGGGGCTAGGACTATAGCTCAGTGATGAAGTACTTGCGTAGCATGAGAAAGAGGCCTTGGTTCAATCCCAAGTAATGTGGAGAAAGAAAAAAAAGACAAGACAAAAAAGAAGAGGAAAAGAGAAGAAAAGAAATATTTGCATGTGCAGAGGCCTAAAAATATAAATGCAGTGCTGCTGGAAGGTAGGACTTGAAGTGCCCTTTAACAAAGGAGTTGTATATTCCATGCAAATTATGCAATAAGATGTAACCATTAAAATACATGAGACTTAGGCTTGCAAACTGAAGATATATACAGATACAGATATAAATAAAGACATAAAAAATAAAAAACTACCATACACACATGTTATATAACAGCACAAAAATCTGACTATGAAGTTAAACCAGTGATAGATTTAACTTTGGGAAGGAGAAGTAAAGAAATCCCTAAGTACAGTTCTTTCTCAGTATCTACCAGGCACTGGTTCCATGACCCACTCCCTCAGATATCAGAATCCATGGATGCTTAAGTCCCTTATATAAAATAGCATAGTGCATGCACATTCTCCCACATACATTAAATCATGTCTACATTACATCCTATGGTGTGAGTGCTATACAAATAGCTGTTATACTGTATTCTTTATGGAATAAAGATCAAAAAGTCTGTACATGTTCAACACAGCTGTAATTTCAAAAAATACTTCCCATTCCAGTTTGGCTAAATTTAGGAATGTGAAACCCTGGGATACAGAAGGCAGCTGCATTTATGTTCTGCTTGCATCTTTAAACAAGGAGGATGGCTTACTAACCTAACAAATAACGAAGAATCATTTATGTGTAAAGGTCTAAGTGGGTTAACCAAGAATGGCTGGTTACTGAGCCAGTAGAATCGGAAAGGGACACTCAAAGAGGGTAATACTTCTCTTCACAGGAAACCATCAGTCAGTGGCTCAAGAGGAAGGATGCTCACTTGCGGGCAATGGTGGTCACTCGGATGCGTTTCTGAGTGCTGGAATGCTGATACTGTGTGACAAACTGGATGGCGCCTCTGCCTCCCTGGGGAATCGGGGCATTATGCTGCAGGGTGAGAGGTCACACAGCTGATTACTGTCATAAGCATGACTCAGACACAGCCAGACTTCACTGTGCTCTTCGAAACAGTGGAGGTAAGGTTCTTGGTGCCTTTTCAATGCCTGAGAATCTGCACATTTCCTGGTATTACTGTATATAACTTTTATCTAAAAGGCAGAGGGTAGGGGAAGGCAGAAGGAGGGGGGAACAGCAGCACATACTAACAAACTCCTGGGGCTGGGTGTGTGGCTTGGTGGTGAAGTGAATGCATACAATGCATGAGGCCCTGGGTTCAACTCCAGTATCAGAAGGAATAAAAGCCAACTACAGTTAATGATATGCGTGCTGAAATGTTTAGGGATGAAAACCACCAATGACTGCAAATATATATAAGCCAAGTATGGTGGCACATGCCTATAATCCCAGCATTTTGGAGACGGAAGTAGGAAGATCAGGAGTTCAAGCCCAGCCAGGACTACAAGAGACCCTGTCTCATCTCCCCCTCCCAACAAAAGTGTCCAAAATAAAATGGAATAACAGATATTTAACAAAGCAACTCAACTGTGGTAAAATGTCAATTATAGAACCTAGCTAGTAGTTTTGCAGGTGTTCACTATACAAAATCTTTCATGAAATTATTCTGTGCATTTGCAATTTTTCAAAACAAAAGCATTGGGGAAAGACTGGCACACTCAAAAATTCACCAGCATTATTGTGGCTGGGAAAAATAATTACTCATCTCAGGACCCTGTCCTTTCAACAATAAAGGGACAAAAGAATATGTTATCTGATTCTGTCTAAAAACTGGAAGGAATTTAAAAAAAAGAGCACAGCAGACTAGCACCATGCCTAAGACAGCACAGTAGCATCAGTTTGGGAAGAAAGTAACCAGAAGACACCAGTTTCTAATAAATCAGAACACAGGGCACTGTAACATGAAAACATATGAAAAAATCCAACCCACCTGATTGACAACTTCAAAGTAGATACCAAGTGTAGATGTGGGATCCAGGCCACAGATTTTCCACTGACTCGTGCCACCGACACCAAGCTCCTAGAGGTGAGAAGAGGAATTTGAAAAATACAAAGAAACTAACTCTGAGGACAGCCACAGCTGAAAAGCAGCAAATGAGCAGAAACGGTCACTTGGGACATTTATTTTAGGACAAAAATTTAGGTTTTGGTGAAAACTTAAAAGTATAATTACAGATTAGAAAGTTTAATGTTTACATTTTTGGTACTTTTAAAGTAAGGTTTATATTTATGGCACTTTTAAAGTAAGGTTTGCATTTATGGTACTTTTAAATTAAGTATATATTTTCTGCCATGTATGGTGGCACATGCCTTTACTCCCAGCACTGGGAAGGCAGAGGCAGGCAGATCTCTGTGAGTTCGAGGCTATGTATGGTCTACATAGTAGGTTCCAGGCCAGCTGGGGCTGCAGGGAGAACATGTCTCAAAAAAAGAAAAAAAAAAAAAAAAAAAAAGATAGGCAGACAGACAGACAGACAGACAGACACACACACGAAGTATATATTTTCTTTTTAAATTTTATGTGTACGATTGTATTGCCTGCACATATGTAAGTGCACCCATGTCATGCAATGCCCACGGAGGACAGGAGAGGGTGTTAGATCCCCTGGAACTGGAGTTAAGGATGGTTTGTAGCCACCATATGGATGCTGGAATTTGAACCTGGGTCTTCTGCAAGAGAAGCCAGTGCTCTTAACCACTGAGCCATCTCTCCAGCCCCTTGAATTATTTTTAAATTTAAACACAAACCTTAAAAGTTTAAGTAAATAATGATGTCACTATAATAATGGCTACTTCCATATTGGAATCTGGCACTTACAGCTCAACAAAATTCTTCCAGTCATCTTCACTAATGGACGGTCTTGTGTGACTAAGCGCAGTCATTAAATGTGACTGAGTAATAGCAAGACTGGTTTTGACTGGTCCTGGCTGGTTAAGGGATTCATCTTCCTTAAATAAAAAAAAAAAAACAAAGTAAGAAGATGTTAGTTTAGGAATATGATGAGTAAAGTGGCGGTCTCAACGTCATTTCTTCATGTCAGTTTTTTTTGTTTTGTTTTTTGGGTTTTTTTTGTTTTGTTTTTTTTTTTCTGTCTTTTTGAGACTGTGTCTC